GAATTTTTATTTTATTGCTTCAGTAAAATGGGCCACTTTCCCGTATGATTTGTTGTACCGAATCAGTTGGTAAATTCCCCGTATTTCAATCATTTGCTAAATTGACAAGGCGACAAAATTGAACCTAATGACTTGGATCTAGGTGAATACTATCGAGAGACAAGACACAAGCTATATCACTTTTGACTGTTGCTATTTATTTGACGCTACTGTTTCAACCAGGCGTATGCAATGCTGAATATTGAGTGTGAGTAAGTCGGAACGAGGTACAAAGTCCATGCAAGAGTGCAAATTTCAATTGGAAATGAATTAATTTGAATTGAATGCGGGTACTCGCAAGAGCGCGCGCACACGAAAGACCGCGAAAGAAGAAGAAGAAAAAGAGAGCCGAGGATATATGCGCACGTTGTCACTGGTGCTCATAAATCGTAATTGCGCGGATTTTTTATTCTGTATGTAGACGCGTATGAGCGCGTGCGCGTTCCAGAAATATGAAAACGCACAAAAACCGTTTGCTTGATAACAGGCACGCGTAGAATTTGCTATTCACACGGGTAATTTAGTGAACGGGTTCATTTTTCGAAGGAGATTGGCACATGCTTGTTCACAAATATCATGTTCATACATCACGCAGCTGACCGAATCAGCTGGTAAAAGCATCTTCAGAGAGAGCACCCATTATGTGCTCGCAATGAAGCAATTTTGAAAACAGTGATTGCTGATCAATTCTTATCTGCTTTCTATTTACATTTTTCGAGATTCAAAATAAAATTTAATGCAAAAAATATTATCTCTGTTAAAAAGTATTTGCTTTATTTTGTGTAAACAAATATAGTATGCAATGGAATGTTGAGAAGAAACTAAAACGTAAATGTATATAAAATGGAGTGAGCCGGTGGAAATTGCGCGGATGACAGAATCATTTTTAAAACTTAAGCGCAAATACAAATCATTCTTTGTGCAGAGCATAGAACATGATATGCAAAACAGCGGCACAATGTGTAAACCACAGAGATTTCACCCTTTTTAAGGTTAATTCGATTTTGATAACCTCTCTTTTTTGAACATCTACAGCGTATAACTGGATTTAAGTGGTTACCGGTTGAACTAGCCCATCATTTTGTGTGATACCATAGAAACACAAAACGAAACGATGTTATTCGTGGATTAAACCGAATGCGATGAGCAATTACAGTTTCTCGAACATTTCGAATCGATCCTCATTCGCCTTTTCTGCTTCAACGAATCATAATTACTTTGAAAGTATTAAGTCTATGTGTGTATACGTGCGTTTTCGTATTTCGATTAAAGCTTAAGTCATCAATGTCCAAATATAGAATCGCGGTATGATTTGCTCTCTGTTTGTGTGAAATATTCATAAAATTGATTGATAGATAACGGTTCAAATTGAAAATAACCGTTGATTGGGTCAGAGTACATCGATTTTATGGCATTTGGTTTTGGCTGACAGCCAAAAAAAAAGTAGTCGTCATTAAAAAAGAATTTCGCGGCTGAATTTCACCTAAATTTAAAGGTGAATTTCGTCAAAACTTGAATTGCCGTTGGTTTACAATGAGCCGAGCAACTGTCACCGCTACAAAATTCGATGCGCTGCATACACACACCGAGTGTCCGTCTATCCGTTTTTGCGCTCGGTTGCCCCTGTCTGTGTGCGCTGCTTACCTGCGATCAAAGTGAACTTTGCTCAGATATTTCGTGTGTGTAATACGATTGTATCGAATTATTAATCGTTCGTTCATTCGTTCCTTCGCTCGGATGGGATGGATGGTAAAAATAAATACGGACGACAAATAAAAAATGAATAAAATGTAAGCGATTACGTACAGTCTTTTCAGGCTGATACGCTGAAAGTGTGCTCCACTTAACACAAAACACACACATACCGAGCAACGAAGAGCAAAAAAAAGCACACAACACACTTACGATGCTTTCTCTCTCTCATCTAATTGTAAACATACCGATAATCCGAAACGTGTGATGACAAGAAATCGTTCGACGTTCATTCGGCAATATTTATTTATTTATTTGTATTTCACCCGTAGCAAAACAGCACATAGAAGCAACGAAAATAAAACCATCAATCTCTACTTCTATTCATTGTGTGTACGATTTTGCGAAAATGTTGACCTCCATACATCCGGATATGAACAAAAAATTCCGTTCAATGATTAAAATTACTAGAACTTTTACAGGAACAACATAGAACAAAGCCCCTGAATTGTATACGAAAAACTTTTAATTTCGTGTAAATTATCAATGAGTGTGCACAAATGTCTAAATGATGTGTTCACAAGTTATCAACGGCAACATTTGAAAATAAAGAAAGTAAAATATTGTTGGCTTCGTTTACACAAAGAAAGAAAAAACAAAGTTGATGTTGTGTTTGAAGGAGATGACAGCATACTTTGTCAGTCACATGAAAGTCACATGTCAATTGGAAGGAATTTCGTATTTTTCGACCGTTACTCCATAAATCCCGTGGTTCATGGTGAGATATTTTTCGGCCAAAATGACCAAAGCATACATAAATACAAGAAGAAAAAAAAATACCGTTCATGCAATCGTATCATTAATTTCTTCGTAAAAATAGACGTGTTAATCTACGAACAAGAGCACACAATCCATCTGCCGCTGCTGCTCATTTTCTACGTTGCTATATTCAGGGTCAATGAATTATTATTATTATCGATAAAGCAATTTTTGGTAAATTGCACGACTATAATTTGCGTAGTAGTTAATTTTTTTCTTACATTTTAAACTGGATCCACTTACTTCTTAGAAGCGTGATGGTTACTTTTTTCCTTCTCATTCGCTTCTGTTTGTGATTGAGCCAAAGGGAATGGGCCAAAGTGAACTTTGATTTATAGTCTATTTGAAATTGGAATGAAAAGCATGTGAGGACATGTGCTTGCTTTCGGAGCATGTAAATGCTTATGTTTACGCGTGTGAATGGACAAATGCGCAAATGATGTAAACGTACCAGAATTCGCGGTTAAATTTTAAGCGGCTCATTACACAAATGCGTTTGACGATGAAAATTCATCATAATATTGCATCATTCAATTCTTGTATGCATGACGAACGAGTGGCAAAAACGATGCGATACATATTCCCAGGTATTTGTAGCAATAAGAGAAACCGAGAGACAGCAGAAGAAAAAAAAACCGTGTGTACCGACGGCAGTGAAATTCCGCTGTTTTATACAAAATTGGCATTCGTTAGAGAGATGATGAATGGCTAATAAAATATTAGCTCAGCTTATTTTTTTCTTTTTTCACGTTTATAGCAAATGCATACGAGCCCATAGTTGAGGAAATCGATTTTTGCCACGATGCGGATGTGTTCTTTTATTCATAGATCAATTCATGATAGCAAGCGATTACATCCGTTGAATGTGATTTTAAATCATTGACGCATTAACAGCCAATTAAAATTTATCGATATACACTGAACACCATTAAAATGCAGAACCATTTTGTTCAGCAATCGATCGTTACTTGACCTATTAAAATGTATTCATAAAACGATTGGATATTCAACATGTTCGCGCTAAACGCGCTTTAAGTCAATTATTCAAACCAAAGAGATCGTCCGCTTTTTTCTTCTCATTTTTTTTTATTACTCTACAGTGTTGCTGACACATGAGCGAGGGGCATGAGCATACAAATTCGTCGCATTGACTACAAACATATTTATATATCTAATTCTGAATGTTGCAGAGCAGACGACACGATTATCGATGTGCATGCGATAGTAAGTGGCTTCTTTCAATTGTCATTGTCATTGTAATGTTCATTCACAAGATAGTTTACATTGGGTTGTTCGTCTTTGTGTCATACATACACTTGCGCTCGCACTAGCACTAGCATTGACACTGGTATGCGTTCGCTCATTTTCTCCGCACAAAAACATTCTTACAGAATTGTAATACAATTGACGGAGATCATTGATATAATTTGATGGGCCGGGATGTGTTGTTGCCGTTTCTTACGACGACTTTTTTCGACAGTTCGACCGACAACGTGATCGAAAAGTGATCAATGAATGGCATTCCGAAACGAAACATTTCATTTTGTTTCGTTCGCAAAGGCCCCTGACGATTCATTTTCAGAAATTCCGACTATCGTCGAGAAACTATTTGCTTGTGCCTTTGAAGTTTGAAATCAGTTTTGCATGACCTCTTATCAGCCATTGCCATATATAATCGGAATGGAGGCACGAGAAACAGTACACAATACTCGCCAAATTCGGATAGTGAAAAAAATGATTCTATCCAACAACAAATGATATTGGTATTACTGGCCAGCGTAATTAGCCGACTGCATACAGTTCAGTGTAACCGAATGACTGACAAAGAAAAAAAAGCAGTTTATTGAGTGCTCTTTTTCTCTCAAATAAGACGACCACTTCATATGAATAAATTAAAACGGTTCGCCGAAATTCGAGCCCCACACTTCAAATGTTCGTATCAGTGAAGCACACATGCAATTGTGCAGTGCCGTTGTTTTACATACGCTCTCGTTCTCATCGTGTATAGACAACAACGAACACGGACATACACACAGAGATAGTGAGCGAGAGAAAGAGAATGAACTATGGCTTCAAACTAAATTTAATTGTCGCCCTCTAAAAATACACGAGAAATTCCCACAGCCATCGAAAACGATCAAAGTCCAACAGTTTTGAAAAAAAAATGCGTTAGCAGCTAAACGATACATTCCAACACAATCGAATAACCAGTTCAACACACAATAACTATAGATTAAACACAGGCGATAGTAAAACGATGAAAGAGAGAATCTACAACAACAACGACAACGATGACGACGACAATGGAAGCGGCGGCAACGACAGCAGCCGCAGTAGCCAGAGTAAGCAAACCACAACAAAACGAATGATAAGTCGTTGGATAGATATTGCGTCAGCAAATGTGTATTAACTTGATTGTTGGTGTGTCTAACATGTGGCGAACGAGCACAGACATTGACAAGCAACAGCTATACTGCAACAGACAAAGACGGTCACATGCATCGTCTATAATGTTGCGAATGGTCAACAAACGAATGAACAAACGCACGTCTCCGATACCATTACGATCTCGTACAAATCGGTCAAATGCACAAGAAAACCGAAACGAAAAGACACATGCAAGCAATTCCATAGTGACAAAAAAGCAAATCCGCATTCACGGTTTGTGTGTGTCTGTCAACAATGGCAAACATACACTTCAGCCTATCACCTAGTCCAACTGCATACGCTAATATACTGTGTTTACTATAAGCCGTAATCAGCGGAAAACTGCGTGGCGATGAGCCGCATTTTGGTCCGACGAAATGTGGAAAAAAAACGGGCTGTAACCGTCAAATTCATTGTTTTCTTTGGACATGAATCAAAATTCACACATTCAATTGACAATTTGTCGTCATTACGATCCAAACAATCTTTCCTTAACTCAGTCACTAGTCATTTTTAGTTGAATTTTTCGTACGATCATTTTTGACCATCACGCTTTTCAGCTGATGCAATGTTGAATGTTTGAAGCGAAGAAAACATTCCTTTACATGAAATGTGCATTCCGATTTTCCCATTTTCACCTGTTACGTGCGCGCACATGCACACACACACACACACACACACTGGCGATGCGAATCAACCTCGGTGTTACCAATTTAGCATGCAGAAGAATCGCGTCGTGTGTACGTGCCTCGTAATATGAACGGGCTTATATGAAAAACGCAACCGAAGAGAGACGAGGAAAAATGACAAGCAAAAGAAAATAGTCGAATCATAAAGTAATATGCGCACGCGATCACAATTACAACAAAACAATCGTCAAAAGAACATTGGGACATAGCTGGCGCTCGTGCGATCTCGCCGCATAGCGGAGTGTAAAATGAAAAAAAATAAAATGTATGCGAGCGCGAACGCGCGCGCGTGTCCATAAACACAGTGATCTTATATGAATGAGCTTGAGCAGCGACCACAGAGGCACCGAATGTTTAGAGTGTAAACACTGTATGTAGTTTGTTGGCAGTAACAGCACTTTTTCTTTTTTGCTTGAATTTTTTTCTTCTCTCCCCATCTCGCTCTCTCTCTTTCGCACACACACGCACACAAATACTATTTCTGTCTCTTGTCCGTCTGTCTCTGTCTTGTTGTGTGCTGAGCGCTATGTGTGAGTATGTTTTTACTTTTGTTGTGTTTTTTTTTCTTCTGTACTTTCCGTGTGCTGCCCGATCATTTTCAACGATTTTTCAACTCTCATCCTTTCTACGAATTCGAATCCGATGTAATGTTTAAAGCAGTTCATTAACTAACGATCAGTCGTTTGGTGCAGTTTGTCGAATTTAAGCGCTCTCCTAGCTCAAAGCTAACACATTCTTCTTCTGTTTGTGTTTGTATCGGAAATTATCGCTTTGTTTTTTCCGAAGCAAATTCGTATCATCAGTAAATAAAACGGCGTTTAATTTTTATTTAAAATCCAACAGAAATTGGACCGTTTCAACCGAATTAGACAAAATAAACCGCAAAATTGTTTCACGAATGAGACACGTCAAAAATGCGGCGAGTTTTTGAAATTATATCATAAAAGAAATTATTTGACTTGAAAATAAATAAATATTCAAATTAAAACGGTTATTATTTTTCCTCGAAAATATTAAATCGGACAGTGGCAAAGATTGCCAATTTATTTGAAACCGAGACCTGATTCCACAACAAATTACAACGTTTTTTCGAATGAAACAAGTGATGAACATTTTTCTATTCGTTTTCGAATGGATTCTGTGTCGTGTGTCTGATCAATGGATATTTTACCATTCAGTCAGGTGAATCCAAACAAAACAAGCGAATCGTGTGCGAAACGCGATTAGAAAAATTTCATTTTCACACATTTGTGGCAACAAAAAATGTCATCATATTTAAGAACAACAGTGACCGTATGGTTCCGACAAAATCGATTGGTTTGGATATGAATTTGGGCTTGTGATACAGATTCATTCGTTTAGTCAAGTGATAGCAAATTGTGATTTAAAAGAAGAAAAACGAAACAAAGAGAAAGAAAGAAAGAGAGAGAGAGAGAGAGAGAGAGAGGGGGTTGAATTCTCTGCAGAGCAAACTCAATTAAGACAATACAAGTTGAAATAAAATTAAATCAAGCGGAGAGCAAACGCGCTTCCGACTGATTCAAAGAAAATACATTTGTTTGAATTCAATCAAAAATTAGTAATCCAATAGAATGATGCAAGCCACAGTGAACATGAATCGATTCCTTCTTTCATTGTACATAATATGCCTGGTGCATGCTCAAGTTCCTCAAAATTGTGTAAATTCGATGGTTGTAAATGATATCGAGGGTGGCAGCGGTGGCGGTGGTCTCTATTTAGCTAAAGTGTTCGATCACAGTGGAGACCACCAGCAGCAGCAGCAGCAGCATCAACAGCCGCCACATCATCATTTACGACACAGTCACAACCAACAAATTCATCATCAGCATCACAACAGCAACCATCGTCACAACCACAATGCACATCATCACCAGGCCGAAGAACATCATCATGTGGATGCTGGCAACCACAACGATGTTGAAATCGGCCACACACAACCAAATATGGTAATTTTTTGTTGTTGTTATTGTCTTGAACAAATATTTCAGAGTTGAACGGGCGCTCACCATATTCGACTCCAGTTTAGAAAAAAAAGTCAAAGAATCCACGGGAATACGGTTCATTCTCTCGCCTTGTATCTGTTGGAATATTTCAATTTTCAAAATAGCCATTCCAAAGTTTCAATAGAAACAAGCACAATATCTCGAACGTTTGGCAAAGAAAATATTTTCCAAATTGAATTGTCGTGCGAGACTTTGTTCTTGGATAGCCGTTTTAACGATTAAATTGAACAAACCTTCTCTACATCTCCGACATATTCGGAATAGCATGTAATTTCTCATTGTGAGAATTTTTTAACGAGGATTTTTTTTCCTCTCTCCATCTCTTGCAGTGGCATATCTTGGGGCAAACCGTCAAGAGTGTTGATGAGAAATCGGAAAAGCATTTCGATGAGCAGCAAATGCTCGAAAAAATGCATCATCTGAATCAGAAGGTGAATTGCCCAAAGTGTCAAAATCGCCCCGAATTGCGGATGACTGAAGAGGAATTGACCAAATTACGAATTGAATATGTAAAAAATCAAATATTAAAAAAGCTACGGATGACCGAACGGCCAAATGTGTCGACCGCCAATTTACCTCGACCCGTTGCCGAAGGTTCAATGATATTCCCCGAGGATGAAGAGGAGCAACAAAACCACGCATTCGAACAATTTTATGGAAAAACTACACAGAAAATCATCTTCCTCAAGCTGGGTAAGTAGCTAAACCGAAATTTAACCATTCTCTCAACAAAGAAGAAAAAACTACTCGTAGCTAAACCGAACGTAGACGCATATTTTAAATTCCATTTACATTTTTTTTTTGAATTCATTCTTATGGTACCTATGGTGCACATTACCATCGCCCATTTGTTCAAAAAGAAAAACATAAAACGAAAACGAAAGGAAAAAAAATTAAATATAAACAAGCCCAGCGATTACCTAAATATGCTTGTGTTTTACTAATTAAATTGTGCAAAAATTGCGGTCATTAGTGAAATTTCGCGAATATATTCGCATTTGTCCGTTTGTTTTGGTTTATTAAAATTTTTAACATTTTCATTCATGCATTTTTCAATGGTGTGCTGTGCATGGTTTCAGTCGGGATCTATTATCATCGTCACAGCTCAACGGTGCTATAAAGGTTAATTATGGTTATTATGGGAGTGTGCGCCATATTTGTAAATGTATTATGTAGTACGTGACATAAATAGGAAAGCCATGTGAATGCCACAATATTTTTCCGATGTTTTTTCCCTTTCTTCTTCCTCATCTGTTTCCTTTGGCATGGGAAAAAAAAGTTCGGGAAAAAAAATCACACCATACCGAATGCATTCGGTCGACAATGCATCGCTCAATGCAACAAATACGAACAACAAGAATTGTCCAAATTAAAAAATGATAACATTTATGAATTGTTCGTCAAACGTTGTTTTTTTTTGTCGTATTTTCAACAATCGACATCCGGTTGAAAAATGCCATTTTTATCCATACAATTGATAAACATTCGCAATAATTGTATTGTATTGTGAATGTATATAAATTGGTGTTCGTTTTTACGTTCATTTCTAGGAGGAGAAAAAAAATCTGGTGTTTGGGTCAATTTTATTGAGTTGTTGAGCTCTGTTTTAACTATGGATCACTCGATTCGATTGTGATGTTTTGCTCTTATCAGAAGAAATTCGTGTCGTTATTTTTTTTTTTTTTGCTTTCGATGGCTTATCATCGTAACGACTTGGTGTTTATATTTGTATACCGATTTTGATAGAAAAAAAAATAAGCGTTGATACCAGACACACGAAAAATCTTAGAATTTATGTTGTTTTTTTTCGGGTCGAATCTATAATCCATAATGATTGGAGAAAAATTTGCATAAGAAAGAATATTGATTGACTTTGATGTGTTTCGGTTGCAGTAGTGTGTGTGCACGTAGCTTCTTCCAATAATAATGCCATTCTGAACAAAACTCTGTCATAAACCGGCATAAAACAGTAATCGGCGCCTGAAAGAGCGAACGTCATTCGAATACGAATGCAATCACGTTGTGACCGAGTGCTCGCATCGAAAAACCGAACAGAGAGAGAGAGAGAGAGAGAGAGAAAAAATAAACCGCATATCGTTAAATTTATCCTATTTATTAATGAGAGTGTGAGGCAACTCCAAATGTGCGACTGTGACCGACGTTGGTGCCGCGCGCACGCACGCGCCCAACACATAGCCGCATTGCATTAATAACTAAAACGATGTACGAACTGTGACCGCATCATGATCATGAAATGTACGGGCTTTTGTGCATAAACAACATCTGATTATTTATTGTAACGCTTAAATTAGCGGCTGTCGATGTTGATAAAATTCAATTCTCAATACGGTCCAGAAGAGACAGAGAGAAAGAGAGAATAACGTGTCACTTCTCTATCACATTTATCACAACAACATATCAAAAGCGAATCCAACTCATTTTTTTATACTACTCAATATTATTATTTTTCGTCATTCTTTTCGATGCAATCGATACAGCATTCATCAAATACGAATGATTGCAGCGTTTTTCCATCTAACCAGCACATAAAATGCAATATTCGGTCTTTGCTATGTTTTTCTAGCTTGAATTGGACTCAGTGAAATACATTTTAATCGTTTATTACTTTTTTTTCTGTTCTGATTCTGGACTCGAATTCTTGTTTGCTGAAGCTTACTATCTCTGTCGTTTCTCGCCTCGTTTCGTATTTCATGGGTCGCCGTTTTTTTTCCCGTGTGTCGTGGTTTGTTTTTGTTTTAGTTGTTGTCTCTTTCGTTCTTCGGTTTCGATCTGTAGTGTATGGATTTTTAAATATGTTTTTTTTGCCGCCGTCTGCCCGAGTACAAAGTCCAACATATAACGCTTACACATTGTCGAATGGGAATCATGCTTGTGCGACGTGAAACAATCAAATTGATATTATTTTATGTACTTAGAAATGCCAAGAGCGACATTTGTATAGTATTTTGAATATATATAGTGCTGGGCGGGCATACACAAGTTAAAACGGCGCAAACTATACATATTCTAAAACCATTAGACTGATCAATACACAAGACAGAAGAGGAAGAGAGAGAAAGTAAGAGAATTCATTTGCCAATGTGTCTATTTGATATTTGAGTCGATGGTCGTTTTTGGTCTGAATATTCTTGAAATTCATAATTTAAGAATTGTATTTAGATGTGAACACAATCGATTGTGACACGAACATCGTCCAGCACAAATATTATGAGTGTGTAAGGAAGTTGTTTACAAACAAACCCCAAAAACCGTACTTTTTATCAAGACCACCGTCGACCAATACACTCCCAAATCATCTGTATGAAGTCGCGTATGAAGCGCGCATACTCTCCCGCAAATCATCCGAAATATCTTTGAATATTCGCATTTTTATTTTCATACACATGACGAATACAAACTAATTGAAACTCATTTGATTCGATGGATGTTAAATGTATATTTAGAATCTGCAACCAAACTCACAAATCATCCAATCAAGCTCGCTCACATACACACAATTGATTGACGAACCTTGAACTGATAACGGCAATATTTTACTTTAAGAAACGAATTTGAATGGCTTTTTGAACTGAAACAAAAAGAAAATATCAACACACAAATCATTATGATTGTTGAACATACACATTTCTTTTATCAAAAGGGAAAAAATGAAATGAAATGCTGAAGTATTGATTGTAGACCGGAGACTAGGTCAGCTGATATCAGCAAGCAATGAGATGAGCATGCAGCTATTGTATTCAAAATAGTCCGTTTTCTATGCTCAATTTTCGTTGGACAAAAATGATGCTCCTTCATTTCGGTGCGTTTTTTCTTTGAGTTTTTCCTTCTCGTTTTCGACACATTCTAGCCAAAAGAATGGTAGGGCTTGAAAAAAGTAACCGAAACGTTTTCCCCACAAGAGAGCATTGAAATTGAAAGAGAGAGTTTTGTTAACCACTTCTCTGTAAACAAATAACAAACGGCTCTTTTGAAGCGTAAACATTCGAAGGTCCAGTAGTCGCATGAAGTAGTCGCATTGTTGTCTTCGACTTTGTACCCGACAACACACAACGCACGGATCTGGGAAGAGAGAAACGTCCGAGAAAAATGAAGGAAAAAAAACCTTTACCTTTCTCAATAAAATTGGACGTTGTATCTGTATTCTGTTCATTCTATGCTCGGTATTGTAGTGTATTCGTGTTTGTGTGTGCTTTTTTCTAACGAAAATTACTCATAGCCACACGACAGAAGTTCAAACACAGTGTATGTGCTTCAATTAGACGTTATTATACTCCCGAAGGCACGTTCTCTTTTTCGCATTTATCATTTTGAATCGTGTTTTCTGCTCAGGAATCGACGGCAACGATGGCAACAACAACAACAACAACAACGAAAACTACGGCCAAGATAAGCAATCGACGACGTTTCTGCTGCTACTCTGCTGCATATCACATTTCGTTGATGAGCATTGCGTATAGGTTGAAAAAGATGGTCACAAAACAAACAAACAAAAAACGAATGTATACACGGAAACACTTGTGCAATTTGCGCTTGGCTTTGTTGTTGTTATCAGGAGCGGCAATTCTATTAAATCATATGATGATCATTGGGAGTACTCGAATGACGTGACATATCAATGAAGGTTCAAAACTTGAAACTCTAATCGCATTAGCTCGCTCGCTCGCTCTTTTTCTACGTCGCTCTATGTCTGCATTAGTATTACAATTCTATATCTCACATTTCTGTTCGTTTGTAGCTCCACTTTTATTCATAATTTATCAACCGATTAAGCGTCTAAATTCAAAACTTAAGCGGATTGTAATCAGTTTTCGAGTTGACGATGTGGTTTATCGTTCACAACTATAGTTAATTAATTATTGGCTAAATTGCGGAGAATTAAGCAAATGTAGCCGCCATTTGCTACCAATCCACTTGATTGCCATCCAAAATAATACTACGAAAATTCAGAAGAAAAACAAGACCGCAGATCGTCGCTCCGCTCCGCTCTGCGTTCTTGAAGCTTTTAAATTCAAGGGGTTTAATTAATTTGATGTTTCACATCAAATTATCATCGTAAGCACTACATGGAATGTAGATTTATTGATAGTATACTTTTTGTTCAACGGACGTAATATTTTCTGAAGACGACAAAGTTAACTGGGTGGTGTTGGAAATGTCTGTGTCATAAGTTTTTGTTATAAATCATTATAATATTGTTAACAATTATATGATAAAATTGTATTCTTCAATTATGGTTTTAATGTACGTTCAATGTGAACGGTCATCATACATTATTTCACATTGGCAACGAAAAAAGTGTGAAATTTTTTTTTTGAGTTATCTCATAATTGAATTACGTTTACATGATATTATTTCATTTTTGCAATTAGGCGTAATTGCTTCATTTGAAATAAAAAATATGGATATTAAAATGAATTAGTTTACGGTCCAAAAAAAGGGCCTAAAGAGTCTTAAAAATTTCTCGTAAAAAAAATCACTACAGTAGCCTACATTCCATGTAGTGCTAAAAGTCGTTCAAGCTTTACAAAATCGTTATCAATAATAAATGCCCGAAAATCAATATTCACCGTATCACAATCGACATCATTTCCGTCGATTGTCATTTGATACGATCAAAATACAATTAACTTCATACACGAAAATCTACTAAACGATTATTATTTCGGATTCTTTTTTTATTCTGCATTCAATTAAAAATTTATTCTCTGTCTTTTTTTTCTTTTTTTTTATGATGTGCTCCATTTTGGCCATTTGGAATTGCGTGTGCGCGCATGCAGATAATGAGAAATGTAAAGGAGTAGAAAATTTCGGATCGTACATGTGCTTCACATTCGAAATACCGGCCGACATTGATTATAATGATGTTGATGCAGCTGAACTATGGGTTTATCGACAGCCAGATCCAAATGCTAATGAAGCGCAATCATTTTTGGTCAGCGAAATCGAAAGTTGGGACTCGAAAAAAATCAACAAACCATTCGCCATTCACTATGCAAACAGTTCAGGTATGTATATAAATATAGATGGATTTGGATGGATGGATGAATGGATGTGTTGTGGAGAATGTTGAGCCAAATGTTGTTGGCACAATTGGATTGGCTAAACAAATAATGACTGGGTACGATGGTTTGGCGCGCGCGTTCCGCATTAAATCAACTCGGTGATGAATTTTAATGTTAATTTTGGAATATTCGGTGCGACCGACGTATGAGACAGGAAATAGATTTTATCATTGACAGTGTCGATGCCAATTAAATTTGCACTCGCGCTAATGATAACATTGTTTCTTTCGTTTGCCACACGAATTCCAGAGCGTGCTACACAAATAAGCACCGGACAAACTTCCAGCCAAAGCAAAACAATCGCTCACGTTCTGCGAGAATGGCCGAGGAGAATAACATATACAACATACGCAGACACATACACACAATATTATTTTGTGTATTTATTTTGGTGATTGCAATTATCAAGAGATCGCTAAAAAAAAACCTGCACACAAATGACAACGCGTCGACAGCGAAATTAACAACCGAAATGAATTGTTTGTGTGTACACATTCATTGGTGCTCGTTATGCTTTTTGTCATTTGTTTTCGGAATCAATATTTTTGCATCGCACCCGAATGTGAACGGAGACGATGGCTGTAGTCACAATGTTTGTGATTTGCATAAGTTTTTATCGAACGAATGTTCGAAATGTGCCCGCGTTATGCATTTTAAAATGTGTATAGCCAAAAGGCATCGAAGCATCCGTGGTCAGAAAAGATACAAGATTCGATGCATTGCGTATCCCATGACCAGTAACAATTTCGATCGCCCATTTAAATTTACAACATATATATTTTTGTTTCTTTTATTGAATTATAATCACGTTCATTCATATAAATTTAAAATTTGTTTCATTTTCCCCGGTTTTGTGCCACTGTTGCTGCTGCCGATGCTGATTCCGTTGCTGTTGGTTTCGTTGACGCTTCGATTTTGCAGAAGGTTGGGGCAAAATTGATTTCACATGGTCCATACGCAATTGGATGAAATACCAAAATCTGTATCACGTCATTGACATCTCGTGCAATACGTGCGAAGAGCATCCAACAGTGGATTTATTCTCGCTGGACTATGGTTATCGACCGTTTATCGTTGTAAACACAACATCCAGCCAAACCATAAAACGACAACGGCGTAGCATTAATTGTTCGCCCGGCGTATCAGAGTGCTGCCGTGATAAATTGTACATATCATTCGCTGAAATCGGTTGGAATGACTGGATCCTACACCCGGCTGGCTATGATGCGTACTTCTGCCGCGGATCATGTGCATCGGCCGCTACAATCACATCCGACGCGAGCAACTACCACTTATTTGTCCGGGTAAGTTTTCACTTTGCTGATGTTGGCGCATTTTTCTTTTGCATCTTTTCGTTCTCTTTCATCCTCTTGCTCCACTTTGTTTTGTACACTTTTTAGATTTAATGCTTGAACGTTTGGTTTTCATTTTGAATGTGTGCTTTGCCTACCGCTTTTTTTTCATCATTTATTATTGTTGCTTCTGGCCGTGGCCATTGTATTTTAATGGTGTAGCATTGTTTTTATGCATTTTGTGCGCCCTTTTCAAACACACACACACAGTCACAATGACTTCAGAACAGTGGCAGATACAGCATATTCCGTTCATGTTGTTGTTGCTCATTGTTTTCATTTCGGTTGATTAATCCAACGAATACGATGAAATAAATTCATGGATACGCACATTTTTTTGAAATATACCTCGTGTATGTTTGACCTGTATGCAGTGTATGAAAGCAAAGATGAAAAGAAATTTCTCATGAGAACGTTATTTTCGCCCTATAAATTCAACCCCATGCACACACATAAACACATTCATTCACAGATTGACATACGAAATATAAGATGGACCAAACACGACAAGGTTTTTGTTTCACTTTTATTATTTATTTCTTTTTTTTCTCGTCTCTCTTTTTTTTTGTTTCTACTGTAAATTGGCGACCGCTCACTCCTGGCAAATCCGGCAATTTTTCATCGAAAACACACAGAATATGTTACGAAATCACTCATCACACAACCGAGAGAAAAGCTTTGAACTCGTTCCATGCTGTACGGCTACCCAATTTTCATCACTGCAACTGTTTTACATGGAAAACAACTCAACGGCCACACGAAAGACGCTCCCCAATATGGTTGTTGAAGCATGCGGGTGTATGTAGACGGTTAAGTCATGAGTAGCAGCAGCAGCAGCAGCAGCAGCAGCAGCAGCAGCAGCAGCAGCAGTAGCAGTAGTACAATACGCCAGCTGTTGTTTTCTTTTATCATGAAATCCGTTTATATTAAATTCATCATTGCAATGATCTATATTACTACCCTGGTTTGTCATTTGATTCCACTGAAATTCGTTTGCATTCACCAAATTTTCCGTTTTCCATTTAATGCGTTTAGATTGTAAAATTAGTTGTATAATAATTTATTTTTGTCTATAAGTAATTTTATGTAGTTTTTTCTTTTACTTTTGGTGACGTTCCGTCGAATGCTCATTTAATCGCAGCGAAATGTACATGGTCGAATGCGATATCTTACTTAAACACAAAATACAGTATTCTATGCAAATATGATTGTAGATTTTAAATCGCCTTTTAGTGCGCGATAGTCGATTTAAGAATTCAGATATTCCCTTAGTCCCATCGTTGATTCGGACTATTTCTCTTTTTTTTACATTGTTGTTAAAATTAAATCTTCTGGTATTAAGTAAGTGATTAAAAAAATGAAACTGATAGAGAGAAAAAAAAAACGTTTTTTTTGTAATAATGATAATAACAATGCGTAGAAGCAGATTTGCAAATTAAATTCCGATGCAAGTTTTAGTTTTCTATCCAAGAGTTTCAGAGAAAGAAAGTGTAAGTATTTTACGGAAGAATTGTTTTCAAGCTCAAAGAAAATATGAAACAACATTTAAAGTTATGAGTGTTGCTTAGGACAAAGCACAGAAAAAAAGTTCACTCACAAAACTTCACAGCGCTCGACTGCCGATAGCGAACGTAATTGTGGGAGCAAAACTAGGGGGATTTTTCATTGAAAAAACCTTTAAAATCTTCCAAAATCTTTGAAATCGGCATATTTTTGCCTATATTCAAAACATCTACAAATATCCATAGGTATTGAGTGTTAAAAATTTGGCAGTTCGGACGTGCTCAGCAGACGCTATCTTGAATTTGAAAATTCAGTCGCCATCTAACAAATCTGCAAAAATTCACAATTATCTTCAAAATATGCATACAACTAAATATCCACAAAAATCTTTAATATCGCTACATTTTTGAATTGAGAAATTCCCCTAGGAGCGAAAAAGGAGCAAACACTTTTGAAAAATCATTAATCCTTTTCTATTTAGTCGAAAATCAAATAGCGTATTTAAATTCGAATGTGGCATTGCTGCCAAAACTTGCACCGGAAACTTATCCGAATTAATTCCATTAAGATGCGTTATTGTCATGCATTTTAATTATGTGGTTCTCTGCGCTTTTTCTCTCTCTCTCTCTCTCCATCTCTCATTCTTATTCCCATTCTCTACATTAAATAAACTTGTCAATTATTAGACGAAAATGTGCAGTAGATTGAAGGGTTTTGGGATCGATAACAATGTTGGAATGTTGCAGGCGAAAATAGAATAAGATTGTGAGTGTGTGTGTTTCAGAGGAATTCTTGTGCAAAATTAAATATTCTCAACTAAAACTCAAAGTCGGAACCACATATTTCAAAGGCGAAACTTTTTAAACATGCCCTTAGTCGAGCACAAACATAGTGCTGTCGCCATCACCACCACCACCATCATCATCATCGTATTTGTTGCCGCCGCTAACGCCTTACGTAACCACATCCACCGAACAAACACATTTCGGTGTATTCGCAAAGGGCTTTGATTTTCATTACTACTTCGAATTGCATCATAAAAAGGTGAAATTTGTGTCTGCATTGGAACTCATTAAATCGAAAGTTACCTGATGAGTTGCATGCTTTCTTATCGTCTTTTTGGGGTCGGTCTTCTTCATTGCACCTCATATCAAAAGTTGTGTTTGCCATATATATTCCAACGTTACTTGCAATTTTCCCCACATTCACTTTTCCATTTGCCACGTTCTTTTTGGCTATTTGCACCGCCTTCCCTCAAAACAATCTTACAAAAAGCATAAAAAGCATCAAATCATTGCGTTGCAAAAACCTATTCCGTCCATAAATACATGCATGTGTACAATAATTTGAAATGTCATCCAGACCTTAAGAGAAAAACATCGTTGCTTCTCAACGTTTTTCACCTTTGCAGCTGCTCGTGTAAAACCGGATTTTCAACAGATGTTTATGTTAGTGTTTTTTTTTCTTTCACTTTCGCAACGACATATTTTTCCGAAAAATGTTTCCCCGTTTAGCATCAACAGCAAATTTCGTTCGCATGAGACTGAATCTGTTTCGGTCTTTTTTCCTTTCGTTGTTTAAATGGGTCGTTGAAATGCATTTCCTAGTGTTTGAGTTTTTTTTTGGTGTTATCAAATTAAAAATACAACAAAAATGGAAGTTTTAGTTTATTTTTCAAACAACAAATTAGTTTTTTGGTTGTTCAAGTCGGTGGTCTAAATTTAATGAAGTGAACAATGCTGGAATGAACCAATCATGAATTAATGACACTCAACTGGCACAAAAAACCAGTTAGTCATGGATGCAAGAAATTGAAGCAGCAATAAAATGGCAAAAATTCACAAGCGAGGCGAGGACATTTCACTTGATAGTAATAATCATTTGTTTATTCGCCAAATTCACTTCTTCTCCGCTCCGCCCCACATTCTTAAAACAAATCAATGGAATTTCTGTTGGATGAATTTTTAGCGATAAATATAATGCGCTTGCTTTGCAGTGAACTAAGACAAGCGATAGCTCAGAGCAGCTGACTTTGTTCACCGTATAGCAAACACATCACAATTATGGAATAGAAATATTCAGTGTGACGGAATTATTTTGTAGCGATGCCTGAATGGAAATACGATAAAAATAAATATATTTTTTCATACTTGTCGTAGTACGGAAAATTGCAAAGTTTGTGTTTTTGTTTTTCGTACAAAAAAAACAGGAGAAAAAAAAACAAAGCGGTTTATAAATATGGCCAAAGCAATATTGAATACCCCAGTGCTGGAATATCCCACGTAGAAAAATGTTCAACAAATAATAGCTGTCGATAAATTTTATTTTATTAACTTCATCTGTCACATTTGCTTTCATTGCATCATAAATCACATTTGAGAATATAATTTTCAAGAAAAAAAGAAGAAATCAATAAGGCCGAAAATGAGGCGAAAGAGAAGAACAATGAAATGTACTGTTGCACGCACGAATAGGGTCACCGCAATCATATCGTATCGCATCGCATCGATACTGTTGGTTTATACCAAATAAATCTGCATAAATTCCCGATAGTAAAACGTTGGTTCATTTTCTCTGGTTCTCTGCGTTTGCTATTGATATGCTTTGCCTTCGCATAAATGTTTACTTTCGGTGGAAAAGCGTGGCCACCGCAAACGTTGATAAATTACGATTTGTGTAAATAAAAGCCGCAGAAATAGAAGAAACGAAAACTACGAGCAGAAAAAAACACAAGCACATCAGATGTAAGTTATCACAAGAACCTGAACATTGGCATTCCATGAACTATAAAGCGTAAGAAAATGAGTTTGCGGCAGATATGGAAAGATGGAGAGAGGGAGAGAGTGCGGGAGAAAAGTCGGTAGACGAATTGTGTGGTAAATCGATTTGATGATGCATAAGATAAATCACAGCTCGCGGTATTCTAGCGGGCACGATATAGAAGCGAAAAATAAGCATCCTTTTTTCCGGAATTTTGACCCTCGAAAAAAAAATATTAGAGAATGCTAACGCAATGAATCGAATTTTCCCTAGTTTGTGTTACCTGTACCATTTTAGTTTTTGTCATTCGGAATGCGAAGAAAAAGTGAAGGAAAAAAAAAGCTACATAATGGATAAAAATGGTAATTACCATTGGAATATTGTTTATGATGAACCCAATGTGATATTTCATATAAGGCCATTCCAAACAATTGCGCTCTTTATTCGCTTGATCATTTTATCATCTCTGAAATATTACCATTTTTTTTTTCATAATACGATAGTGAATTATTCGAAGGATCTTCGAAAAAGTGCTTAATTTTTTTCGGTTGAATAATTTTAGTTGTTATCTGTAGTCGAAAAGGGACAGGTAACCTGAACAAATACACACATACACTATTCATGGATTTATATTGTTCAACAAGAATATATAGGGTTACCATCTACACAAAATAGATAGAGCTATATGATTTCAGATTATTTGCGATTGTCTGCATTATTATAGCATAAATAAACTGGATACCAACATAGTGACGAGCGTTTTTCTATGCATCTCCGATTGGAATGAGAACGAACGGTTTTGTAAAACTGTTGCGCACTGAACGGGTCAGAGGGAAATCAATTACAATGCACAAAAATGTGTAAATTATAGAGATATCAGTGACACATATAAATACGTCCCCCCCAAAACTAACAAACCAACAGACAAAAGTCGAATGTGTTGCCGAATTTCCGTCAAAAACTGGTGGTATGGTCTGTTCGATTTGGAATGATATATTCTGAATAGAAACAGCTCTCCCCGATCTTTTCTACAATTTCAAAACAGTTTGTGTGTATTTTAAACATTACGTGAAGTAGCAACAACTGTCGAATTGAAGCGCATTCTTCTTTTCTCGCTCTCTTCCACTCTATTTGTATTTATGCCCCGTGGCACTGAAAGCTGTGAACTGGATTTAGATTCTATAGCGCACCTGTGGTGATCGGGATTTTACAAATAAAAATTTGAGTACCCATTTTGAGCTCTCTACAACATCAAATCCAAATATATCTTTGCATCCGTTCGAAAATGGCAACGGAAAAACAAAAGCGTTGGGGAAAAAAAGCGGCTTCGTGAACAAAAACTTAATCAATTTTAACTTTATTCCTCGCACGTCAGCTGAAAAGGCTACAATGGAATGGAAATTGTGTGGCGCAGTACCGACATGTTTGCAACTTGAACACGCTTGGCTTTGATACCACTCCGCACAAACACCCCCCCACACACACACACACAAACACGCGCGCGCACACATTGACACACAATCGGTGCGCAACGCCAAAACGAATCTTGTAGAAATAATTTATACACCGTTTCATTTGTAATCGATGGTAAGCGTTTTTTTCACTCTTGCTCGTGCCCTCTCACCCACTCTTTCCCAGTCTCGCAATTCGCTATTCGCCAACATTTTTATTCAATCAATCCCATTTCAGACCTCTCTTAATTTATATCCAATACGCTCCATCATTTCTTCCAATCATTCAATCAGCTATCAATTTAATCAATCGTTTCGTGCATGCGAACGCAAAAAATCTATATGTATAAATCGAACAGAACCGATTTCAGAGAGGTATGGCGATCTCCCGAACCTACTTTCAATTGAAAAACAATGGGTGGCAAACAGGTGAAACGAAGATTTTCGGTCAATGTATCCTATACAGTTTCAAGTAACCGTGATGAAACGACCAAATATATTCAAACTATGCCCGAACTTTTGCAATTGCTCTGCAATGCTACACAGATTAAACAAACAGACAATTTGCAATCAGAATGGTTCATTTTGTGAAATTGTGCATTGGCTCTCCAGTTTTTTTTTCCTATCTCCGCACTCCCGCTCACCACCTATTCGCTCAAACTGAGTCGACCACTGCTGCAATCATAAAACTGTGTCATCGAATGACGTTGGCCAATTCTCGAGAAATGTCCTTCATAAAAAACATTGGAGGTTGACACATGGTGCTTTAATTGAATCTATTTGAATATCAGGATGCCAATTTTCAACAACAATTTGCGATATTCCGGACTTTACCCATTATTATTCGGTTCATCATCGCACAACCCGCAGTCGTTCCGTCGCCAAGATTCGCTTCGAACGTCATCCGAACGCGAACAAATTCAAATGATTTCACCATTATAATTACATTAATTAGATCTTTTAAACAGAATGGTGATAATTAGTTTTCTTTGGTTTCATTTGAAACACAAGAGTATTTTGAGTAGGCTTATCCCGCCTCAAAATATCCACGGCCAGATGCTCGAATATCATTTGGAATCGAACGTTGAACACTCAATGGAACTCCGTCCGTTCGCCGAATGGCAGAAAAGACAAGAGCGAATACAAAACGAAATGTGCCAAAAACTAAATTGAAAATGGTAATTTTATATGAAAGTAATTTTTTGTGTCTGTTATTTTTCTTGTTGGTTGTTGCGAACGTAATATTAAACGGTTATGAAAGTCTATCTAAAATTTTGATAAGTGTGCTGGATGGAGTGGTTGCCTGGAGCCGAGAGAATTTTGATTGTGTGCGTGTGTACGTGTTTGTGTGTGTGTGTGTATGTTTGTGCATTGTGATAATAATAACTCGTTTTTGGGCTATACAAGTGGCTGCCGCCACTTAATATGCTTATTGGTTATGATTGTGGTGTTGAAAGCATTCAATGTGTATAACTTGTAACATAGAATGCGATTATATGTCGACCCCATAATCAAAAACAATTCGACCAATGCCACACTCACTCACTCGCACGCCCAGCAAACATCAAACCGAAATGGCCGAACAGCGGTTGCTGAACACATCCTATTCATTCACTCGTTAGTTCGTTTGTTCCATCTCTCTCACTTGTCCCAATCATCTCCAATCATCAAACATTATCGTTTATCGTTTTCACCGAAAACTTTATGGTGCAAACAAAATATTGTCATTCAATCTAATTGAACTGTTTTAAGTAGTTATAACATAAATATTTATGTGTCCATATCCCATTGAACGCAGCGATCCGGTTTCCATTTACAAATCCTTCTTTGTTCAAATACCAGATCGTTGTGAATTTCTCTCCCTGTCTATGACAATTTTAACCACAAGATGGGAGATGCCTGTTCTCTCTAATAGCATAGTCAACTGAATCATTCAATATGGCCTGTTTCACATGGACTTTGGACTTTGGGGGAACAGGAGCAGGAAAGCTTGGTTCCCAATTCCAAAACGACGACAACAGCGACGACGACAACGAAACTTTCGAAAATATTTAAAGATATTAAGAGCTTATTGCATTCTGTCTCTGCTCTTCCAACGCCTCTCCGATTTCCTTTTTGCCCGGCCATTTCCGATGGCCGTGCCTCACGTAACCGCTTTTGCATTAGCAAATACCAAAAGTAGCAAACGAATCACATTACAAGTTCTTTTGTTTCGTTCGCTTTGCTATAAGCAAAATAAATAGCGATTTTGTTGTGTATCTAGTTTGGATACGTATTGTGTTTACATTGCATCGATTTATACACATATAGCATGGTCGCAGATCGAGAGGTGGAAACATAGGGGAAGATAGACAGAGAGTGAGAGAGAGAGAAGGGAACAGAAGGGAAGAGAAAGGAAGAGAAAGAGATTATGGCATCCAAGCCCAAACCAAAACTAACACGGAACGTGTTTGCAATATGATAATAGGAATAACTAATGATGAGCATCGAAAAACCAAAACTTGAGATGGCCCTGTGCATGCGTGTGAATGGGCTAACGTAACATGCTTTTATGGCTTAATGTTGGCCCTATTGAGTGTGCTTGCGAATTCATGGTTTCAAAATTTAATATAGTTCTATCTGGTTGGCAAACAGTGAGAACACGCAACGATATAGTCAACACATGTGCCGGCCATGTTTCAGAATCAGGGGCGCACACAAGATGAATCTGACATTTGCGTGAGCGTGAATGTGAACGAGATGCGATGCAATGCTACGTTACTCTTTAGGTGTTTTTCATGTAGTGCGTTCAGTGGTTGGGCGATTTCTTCTTCTTCAAAAAGATTGTTTTTTTCAATTTCCAGCCATGTCATTGTGCAGTGCACACACACATACACACACATACACGTACACACACAAGGCAAATGATGAAATGTAAGTGACACAATCAAATCTCTCTCTCTCTCTCTCTCTCTCTCTCTCTCTCTCTCTCTCTCTCTCTCTCTCTCTCTCTCTCTCTCTTTAAAGTGCATATAGTTTAAATTGGACAAAAATGCCTGTCTATCATTCATATTAACATTAATATAATTGATAGTATTCGCTGGGGAAAGCATTTCATACACAATGTAGATAGAAAGTCCTATCCGTGTCAGTGCCGATATTTAGCACATCAAGATGCTAGTCAAGATGATATTGGGCTTAGGCGAGAACAAGGGAAATGGAAAGAACATATCACCACTGATCTAATAACGGTACTCAGGTACATACAGATGACCAACAGAGATTATATTACTCTAACAGAAATTGTATTAGATTTTCTTTATCATAATTTCCAAATCATCAACCGATGTTGCTAGGAACGAGGAATTTTGTGAAAAATCCCGATAAATTTTGAATGGGCTGTTTTTGGCTACGATGCAAACACATCCTTTTCCTACGCGATGCTATGCCATTGAAATTCCGGACACATAAATCTTAGATCGAAAGAATTCTACAGCAAATATGCTACTGTCAGTCAAATTCTGATTCATCGATGACCGATGTGAGACGGGCCAGGAAAAAGAAGAAACATCACAATAAAATACATAAAGACAAGAATTTTATTATGCAATGCAGATGTAAGTAGACTTTTGTCTGACAAAACACAAGCCGACGAAAATATTGAATAGAGAAAATGAAGCGAATGAGTCACCATACATACAGTTGGAATTGGTTACAAATGCGGCATCATTTGGTTCGAAGATGATTGAATTTTATGTAAATTGAAATGGTTCCTATGCTATGGACGACGCGGATAAGATAGTAGCCGCAAATCAAGTATTCCATTGTTTGGAATGATGAGTGATTCAGAATGACCGACAGACATTGTCTGTCTGCCTTTGGTCAACGTCGCAACATTCAGAGTTGTATTGAAAATGCAATAGATTTTGCGAGTACATTAGAGAGATCATTTACATGGAAACGAAACACAGACACAACATCGGTGATATGAATTGATGTAAATTTATGACTGACGAATACTAGTGAGACCAAAAAAAATTGATGAAATTTCTTACTTTGGCATCCGATTATTTATGGATTATTTGTGTGTAGAATCCGAAACGACGAATGACGCTAACATAAATATACTGAACGAAGATTTTTGACGTTGTAACAATGGTGATATCAATCTTGTGTAATGGAAACAGAGATGAACACCGAAACATACCGCTGGAATCACTGGCAAAATTACGCATTGTACGTTAGGCTCAGGAATAAATAGCACATATCATGAACGTTTTTCAATGCGTAAATGCGAATTTAACCCAATTTATTTCAATGGAATCAACAACATTCACACTATTCTCACTGGTATTTTTCAACCCCTCGATTCCGCTTACAATCGCTCGCATTATATCTCTCTTTCTCTCTGCATCATTTCGATAGCTGTGTTTTGTGCTACAATCCTGTATAAGATTCACTTTTCAATTTTATTTGCGATTACAGTGGTTCGTGAATGGCATTTATTTTAGCTTTTATGGGACTTACTGTCTTTTCATTTGAAAAGCACTCGTCACATAATGCGACCCGATCTGCATGGTGGCAGCCGGTAGATGGGAAAAGGTTAATAGAATCAAATCAAACCATCCAAGAACAGCCACCATTCGGCCATTTCGATAGTTTATTGTGGACATGGATCGTGTTTATATGGAGACATCTTTTTTAACAACAACAAGAACTGTTTTGGCTCCTTCGCCTCAGATAACCTCATTTGCATGGCATTCACACAATCCCTATCTCGTTGCATTTTAAAATCGTTCACTCGAATATTACTCGGTCTCAATAAAATGCCAAGCATTCGCATTGATGGTTGACAAATATTCCATTTTTGCATGGTAATATGAAATTCAATCGGACAAGGCAAGTGCGAGAAAAAAAAAGAAAACAACTAGATGAAAGTATACTGAAAAACAATCACGAAAATGTGGTAGAAAAAAGAACAAAAAAAACACTTACCTATAACATTCAATGTGTACGATAAACTTATTTTGGGTTCCGTGGACACTTGGCATTCATACACACCAGCATCTCGAACTTGTGGATATTTTATTTGCAGCGTCCAAAGCGTCGAGTTTTGCGGTCGCTGGACCTATAATGTACACATGATGGGCCGAAAATGAAAATGGCATTAGAGAAAGAGAAAGAGAAAGAGAAAGAGAGAGAGAGCGAACAAGAAATACCAAGCCACAAAAAATAGTCAAAGCATTTTCTATTATTTATTTATCACATAAGCAATAATATTATACAACGCATTCAATGACTGACGAAATAAAAGATTCTTTTTTAAAGGAGCAAATTATTTCAACATTTTATTGCCGAATGAGTGCAATAATAGAGGAAAAAAAGGATCGTCATAAAATGACGGATGAAAACGATGTTAATAAAGTGAACGAATGTTCGAAATCGTTTGCTATCGGCAAAGAATACATTTCGATGGCATCGAGAAAAAAAAGAGAGAAATAAGTCGTCTGACAATAAGAATCGCTCTAGGTGGAAGAGAAACCGAATCGTATGTAAAGTACGTCTAAAAACCTCAGGCGTACTTTTTGTAGTTTGTTCGACATCGACGGCGATACTCGTTAAATGGAGAGAAAAAGAGAGGAAGTTGGAATGAATGGCGGTGACAACGAGTGAACATTCCATCAATAATCAAATCGGCAGACAATTGGAAATAATTTTGCGATAGCAATCAACAATCATTCGAAAGCGCTGAATTTTTCCACCAAAAACAATTTTCTAAATAAATGATGAAATCATCAACGGTTAATGGCTTCGATTAAAATTCGATCGATCGATTTGGTTCGCGAAAATTGGCATTTGTTTTTGATTACCTGAAACCGTTGATCTGATGTATAGACAGCCGTTCCAGCCGTTAAAATGTGTAAATCTCGCTTGCGTATCCAGGAGACCTGCAATGGGAATAATAAAGAAGAAAAAAATTATTACGAAAGAATTATTCGTTCCAAATGAATGCATCGCATTGCAACCATCAAGATCATTCGTAACTGAGACGAAGATAAAAATTGTGCCGCTCCCCCTATAACTGATTGCACGATTTCTTTGTTTTCTGTCTTCTTCTTTCTTTCTCAGTTTTTCCACCACTTCGAGTTTCTTATTGCTGCCGTTGGTGCTACTGTTTACCGGGGTTTGCATTGAAAAAGTGCGTCATTTTGGTGCATATAAATCAGAGCCAAAGCTTAGCAAAATGATATTTAATTATGTATAATGCATAATGTTCTAAGTAGTAAGAATATATCTAGATAATAATTAGGGCGATTCGGCCCATTTCGAGATGAACGACGAATTTAATTAGTCGACGCCGAATGAATGTTTGCGTGTGCTAAATATTGATGTGTCATTAAATGATAATAATAGTTCAAATGAACGCATGAGAATATTCTTGACCTGTGAAAAAAAGTTCGTTCCGAAATGCCTCATACATTCGTATAGCAACAAAAGAGACTCAAGAAAAAAGTGAGCATAAAAGTGTCCCATGATTATGGGGCACTATTATTCTCACTTCATTCATGGGACTCTTTTATGCAATACAAATGTATGAGGCGTTTTGGTTGTGCATTTTGATTTGAGGCTTTTTTATGATAATTTTGATAACAAGGAATGAGAATTTCGATGTGGCGATAGCACCAATGGATTGGGCACAATAAATACTGTATCAAAATCGAAAAAAAAATTTAAATTTTTTTTTCGAATTACGGCTGTATTGCGACCGTCAACATGGGAAGTTTGTATGAAAACCTCGGAGCGCCGCTGGTATTGCATTGGCTTCTATGGCCAAATGTACACATGGAAATATCTCGAAAAAGGCTAGTTTAATCGGCAAAACGGACCGTGATGTCACTCCCGAAGGGAGTGTAAACACCCGGCTGGTTTGACGGCCTAGAATACAAATCCGGTGGAATTTGGGCTGATCCATGGATTCTCAGAATTCGACCTGATTTTGGGCACTTCAATTTCATTCATAACAAAACATAGGTAGAATGTGTTTACAGATGCACATAAAAAAGGAAGCACTGGAATCTGGCCAAATCCAGAGAATCCATGGATCAGCCGATTATGAAGCTGATTATTAAGCGATTATGAATGAACGTAATGAAAAATTTACGTTCATTCATAATCGGTTGCAAAGCGACGTTGCCAGAACATGCACAATCTCGTTTGTGTGTGCAATGTCTATTGCGCGTTAATTTTCAGCATCGGACCAGCAAGCAACTGTGTTGTTCGTCGAACAACCGATTATAATACACTTGAAAATTGCACATAAGTGTGAGTGAAATAGCATAAGTTTTCGACGCTCGAGTTTTTTTCCATATAGGCCAATGCAATTGAATATAATATTATTAAATTTTTGCACATGGAAATATCTCGAAAACGGCTGGGTAAATCGGCAAAACGGACCGTGACGTCAGTCCCTAAAGGGAGTGTATACACTATACACCCGACTGGTTTGATGGCCTAGAATACAAATCCGGTGAAATTTCGGCTGATCCATGGATTCTCTGGATTTGGCCAGATTCCAGTGCTTCCTTTTTTATGTGCATCTGTAAACACATTCTACCTATGTTTTGTTATGAAAGAAATTGAAGTGCTAGAATCAGGTCGAATCCTGAGAATCCATGGATCAGCCCAAATTCCACCGGATTTGTATTCTAGGCCGTCAAACCAGCCGGGTGTTTACACTCCCTTCGGGAGTGACATCACGGTCCGTTTTGCCGATTAAACTAGCCTTTTTCGAGATATTTCCATGTGTACATTTGGCCATAGAAGCCAATGCAATACCAGCGGCGCTCCGAGGTTTTCATACAAACTTCCCATGTTGACGGTCGCAATACAGCCGTAATTCGAAAAAAAAATTTAAATTTTTTTTTCGATTTTGATACAGTATTTATTGTGCCCAATTCATTGGTGCTATCGCCACATCGAAATTCTCATTCCTTGTTATCAAAATTATCATAAAAAAGCCTCAAATCAAAATGCACAACCAAAACGCCTCATACATTTGTATTGCATAAAAGAGTCCCATGAATAAAGTGAGAATAAAAGTGCCCCATAATCATGGGACACTTTTATGCTCACTTTTTTCTTGAGTCTCTCTTGTTGCTATACGAATGTATGAGGCATTTCGGAACGAACTTTTTTTCGCAGGTCAAGAATATTCTCATGCGTTCAAATGAGCTTCTTTGCTTCTGTCTTTCTCACTCTCTGCACCGATTTTATGCTCTTTCCTCTCGTTCCACTTGATAAATTATGAATTAACGAAATCGCCCAACATCGAGCTGCGTGGGAAATATCACATGTGCCAACCATCAAAGTGAGAAAGAAATGTTCATTTGATGTTTTTTTTTTCATCAGCTTAGCTATTCATTTTCGAATTTAATTCGTACGAAGGGCATTGGAATCAATCGATTCTTGCTTAATGCGCTTGCATTTGGCCACGGCTTATGTGATCAAGGTTGAACTTTAAAAATTCGCCACCCGGAATTATTGCAATATTTTTATGAACGCCCAAAATGGCAGCAAACGAACGACAATATAATAAAAGAAAAAGTGTTCCTATCGAAATCCCATTGAAATAAAATGCTCCGACAAAATGGATTTTAACTTTCACGTTATTATGTTGAGCGCGTTGCGTGCGTCTCGTCCTCCTCAAAAAGCGATATATCCACAGTTTATCTCCACCATTTTTTTCCGTCCAGCTTTTTATCCATCTTACATTGTAATAAATTTACAATGTAATAATTTGAATGTGGCATCATCACTGGTTCATGTGTCTCCATCCTTTTTTTCGTGTAAACAATCACATTTGGCTGGTTTGAAAGGGGGAAAATACGCATTATTAATTCGCATGTGGATGTATTTATAATATGTTTGCGTTATTCGGGGAGCAGCATTCGTCCCATATGGAGTGCAAAAGTGGAGGAGGACGCGCATACCGTTTAGGGCTTCATAAAATGCACATATTTAAAATTACTTGCGATTTTATGTGTTTCTCATCGTACACATAGTTTATCCCATTTAGATGGTTCATAATAATGCCAAATTGATATTTATATTGGTTAGTCTCGTCTTCTATGCATATCTCTCTTCCTCTCGCACTTTCAGCTCGTATCATTTCAATGTTTGGTGCTTTGTAAATGATGCTCATTTGATATTGCTGTTGTTGTGTTTGAGTTTCTTTTTCTCTTCCACACCTCATTCTTGCTAGTTTTCAACCATCTCAAGTGCATGCACGACAGAGAGAATGAGAATGAGAAAGAGTGTGAGTTAGTTTTTTTGTTCATCGAAAGTTCTATTTATGTGGAATTTTAACCATTCAAACATTCCGATGTGTTATCGCTTTTCCGGTTCCATCAAAGGATGTTCAGCAGTCTGCCATTCATTTTACCGCATGAGCACCTGTGCTCTTGTCGTTTCATTCTTCGCGTTTTCCCATTGTACCAAAGCATTGGAAGCGAAGCTTGCGTGATGATGGGGCAATAACATGAGAAATATCCTCCAAACTGTCGTTCGTTTGAACGGAAAATATTTTGCTTTCTCGCCTCAAACAGAAAGAAAATTAAATGAATAAAAACGAAGATTGCACAAATAATTTTCGATTTTTCCTTCATTTTTTTTTCTCTTTCGTCTTCTTCTCCTTTTTCCCGTTTTGATTATATTTTACCACGCTAACATGTTTCGATATGCATTAGAATGAGAGATTTTACAAAAGTTTTGTGCAACTTTTGATTAGGCTCTTCTTCCACTGGAATCGACCAAAGAAAACCGAAATCACATTAGCAATCTTCTATTCAAGCATTGAACTTCCCATTTGATGCTTCATAAAAAATGATCTTTTGCACAAATTTGAATGAAATGTTGCCGCTGCAACCGTCAATTACATTCACAATTTGCACATTCCGTACACTTTGATGGTCCACGAGCACATACATTCACGATGGGAAAATATGAGCCAGCAGTTTCTTTTTATTTGAATGACATGCATAACACCGTTTTTCATTTCGAAAATTGTTGCAAAAACACGGAACTACAAAGATTACTGTATCTGTGTGTTCGCAAACCACGAGTCCCCAGCTCAAAAACCAAAGAAAACAACACCGGTTGCAAAGCGAAGAAAAAAAAACACTCAAGTCTTTTGAAGCGATTTTCAAGCCAGGGATCGAGCAGATGTAGAGGGAAAAAAAATTATAATCGGATGCAGTCCAATCGGACAAGACGAATGGTGATGAAATGGAAGGAGAGTATGCTCGTGTATTGATAGAAGCAAATACTATGAGATAAAAACACGTATTTTGAAAGATAACACAGAAGAAAAAAGAAGACGAGAAACGAGTAAAGTCAATGGCAAGCTGTCGTGAACGACGACAGCAAGAAAAATAGATAACAGTGTGAAGAGATGCGAGAGCTGAAAATTGAGTCGAGTTGCAGAGCAGGAGAAATTTTTTGAGCCGGTGATGTGGCAAGCTAGAAAGGTGCAGAAATAAGCAGGCGAGCGAGTGAAAGCGTGAGAACGAAAGAGAAAGGGCTAAAAAGAAAAATGAATTACATAAGCTTATTCCGATGGATGCTTCGGTTCTTGCTGCTTTGTCGCTGTATTTATTCGTAGTCAAAAAGAAGAAGAAGAAAATAAAATACGAAATGGGATAGAACGAGCAGCATCCCTAGGTTAAAACGACAAAAGACTTCAGTTTCTGTAACTGCCTTGTTTATTGCGTGTATACAGTTTTTTTTCTCTCGATGGAAACGATTGAAGGTACGTTAGTAACCATTTGCTTCAGCTTCAAAGTCTTTTTGGTGATTTTTTCTGCTCGTTTCTTCGGCTCGTCTATTTGCCTAAAATCCTTCATTTTTTCGGAGCCAAAAAAATGCTTTGCCTGAATGTTTGAATTTTAGC